AATCGCTTACTTATAACAAGTGTATCTTTATTACATACATGTTATTATACACACAGTAGTAAACAGTGCAAAAACAGTAAACAGGGCTAAACAAGCACATACATGCACACACGTACATGCACACGACGTTACGCACACGCAGGCATTCAACACAACGAGTAACTGAATTGTAACGGATCATCGGTTACTTGGGTCACACGATGACATGCGATTACGAATTACAAACCGATGACAAACTACGTTATCACACAATTTGTGATTACCTTTGGTCAAATCTTGATTTATATATATGCTACTTTGCTAGATACCAATTTTTAGTGTTTATCATCATTATCAATAATAATAAATAACTTGAAGAAACCTAATTTTAAAAATCATCATTGTGTGTTATTGAGGATGTCAGTGCTTGTGCAACCTCTAATGCTCTGTTTTTATGTGATTTGCACTGTTAAAAATATTATTATATTTTTCATGTGGCTACTTCAAACATAATTTCTTATCTTTTTATATTCAAATTAATTAATTATAGATATTAAAGCTATTAGTGTTTAATTTTGTTGTGTTAATGCAATTGCACCTGAATTATCAAATGGGGATTTTAGTTATTCACATAGATGTCTAATCATTAAAATGGCAGTTGAAAGCAAATTAATTGAAGTGTAATACTGAGTCTATTCAAGTGATAGGATGCTTTCTTTAAATCACAGGGTTATGTATACTTAAATTATGAAACACTTAACATTTAAACTATATTTATTTCATTTAAAATCTAAATTACTGTTGATGTTTTAGTAAATTAAGTAATTAGTTTGAGGTTGATGTGCATATATGACGTATATAATGCTCTTACTTTTCTGTAACAAGGTTACATTATATATGCACGTATTCTTTTACAGAACTAGATATATGAAATGGTATCAGACAGCTGTGTATGTTCAACTACAATCTGAAGGACTAACTTATCATGAATACGAGTAATCGTCCGAGATGAACTAGAATTTGCGAGTCTTCACACATAATCATCTTTTTTTGCAACGTAAAAACAAGTTCATTTTTGTGTTATAGTGTAACAATACACGGGAAGAATTGTTAAAGTCTGTTGGAAGCATTCTGGTGTAGATTGTCCTTTAAGTTAACGTAGAAAACACAATCGATGATATCTCTGATTCTCATCACTTTTCCAAGTTTTACATTTATTTTGATTATTTATTTATTTTTTTTATGAAATTGGTTATGGATTTTGATAACCAAGCGCTTGGTTTAAGCCACTGTTCAACCGATGATCGAGTATAATCGATGATCGTGACATCACTACATAGACAACGTAACGTACATAGTAAATATATATAAATGCCACATCGTTATGAAAATCATTAAATCACACTCTACTGAAAATGTGGGCAATTATATATAAGTTCACTTACATGTGGAGAGTCGTGATGTACCAGTGGTGTGGGCTCAAATATACACACCGTGTTTCCGTACGATGCTGCAATCTGTTGTAAGGGAAATATGCATATATTACGCACACAAGGTTATCTGTAGTGCAAGTGCAATATAGAACACATGTATATATGCTTTGCATGATCTCACTTCATTGTAGATTATAAATGCGAGATAAAGATAAGATAACACTTCTCTGGTATCCCGTCTCTCTGGTTTGCACTTGTCTTACCTTTCCAAAGTCGGTGGAGCAGTCTATACAGCCAACTTCAATATATCCATGAGTAGCCCCAGGTATGATTTGCACTCGTTGAAAATCACTAGCTAGTATCACAATGTCACATCCAGCAGCGTATGCCTGAAGAATAGTAATAACAGGGGTAAAAATCAACTTTTGAACAAGGGAGTCCAGCAGACTCCCTACCCTCAAAAAGAGGGTGTCCGCAGCAAAATGAGGGAGTCTGCAGTCTGAGGTTCAAAATTAAAGATATTAACAATAACGCATGTGCTTATTTTTAAGATTCATGCAGTTGCACGTCTGCCAAATTTTCTTTGCACATCAGCTGAACAAATACGGTAATTCCGCGAGGCCGTGCTCTGGAACGAACTAGTTAGTATGGAAGAATTTCCAGGGAGTCACACGGACTCCTGCATATATATGTCAAATCAGGGAGTCTGACAGTAAATCAGGGAGTATTTGACTGCGGACTCCCGTTAATTTCGCACCCTGTAATAATGTAGCTCGCTTTGACGTTGATACACACGCTACGCTATTCTACATTCTACGGTTACGTACACACAACCGTGAGATATTTAAACGAATGTTCAAGTGCAAGGATACCTAGCCAGCGACGAAGATAATTTTACTTTTAAATAACACCGGTATTAAACCTCTCATTCCCGTTTATAATTCCCACACAATCATCCCTTCTAAATTTTAATAGGGAGTGAATAAATGATCAGTGCAATTACATTTGTGAGTAATTGAGTTATTGTACATATGCAAGTTACTTCCTGATCCATCCCTGATAATGCTGAGTACTTCTTACACATACATGTATTGTACTCTTTATTGGTTAGCCAATAAGCCACAAATAAATATATGCTTCAATTGCTTGTTCAACCTACATATATGTATAGTTCTGTTATTTGTTGAGCTCATATGATCAATATAAATTATTGTCATGTGCTCTAAGTGTACATGTAGTTTAGAAACAATTTTGTATGCGTTCTGCAGTTCTAATTAGAATTTGAAAAACGCGATTGTCCGACGGCAGCGCTATGACGTCACCTCGGGAATAATCAAAACGCACGTCCGCGAAGTGTACTCGTGCTAGCATTGTCAAGTAGACCGCCGCTAAACTTGAATTATCGCCGTGGAAATGTACGTACGCTGTACAGTATTACTCAATAGATGGGACTGCCTGCACGAATATAAAACAAAATAGATCCTGTCTATACTTACCCTAGTCTTAGAATTTATAATTTGACCTATATTTAACCTCCAAAATGAAATAAAGAATCGGGTAAATCCGCGCATATTGAGCCACCGTAGAACAAGCGCCGTGTAACCTACGATTTGTATGTCATTATATCACAATAATTTATGAGTCCTTATAATTATGCCTAATTTTGACAGTAACTTATAGTACTATCATCCTTCTAACCCAATACATAAGTTTTGTTCGATATCTGTTGATATAATCAAATAAATAGCCCGATATTTCTAGGTACTAGAACCGAGAGTCGCCCAAGTTTATATATTTAACAGTTTTAACAGTTTATATTATCTACTCCTGATATATAACCACCAGCAAACGGTTTATGACTATTTTGATCAACATATCAGAATATTTTTATAGCTACTTATAGTACTTACTACCCTCCTTCTAACCCAATATATGAGTTTTGCTCAATATCTGTTGATATAATCAAATAAATAGCGGCTGAAATAGCCAGATATCTCTAGAATCGCGAGTCACCCAAGTTGGGGGCATCCCAGGCATATGTATACATTAGGTGACCCACACAGTGAAAAAAATACACGGGGGCTCGGGGCGATTTAGCCCCCGAAATGCCAAAAAGAGCCCCGGAAATGCCAAAAAGAGCCCCCGTAAATTTGCATAGAGTTCAATGCAAACCAAATTTTAGAGTGCTATTTTCATGCACGCGAGCTTGAAAAGTAGCCCCCGAAAAATAAATTTTTTCCCTGGACCCACATATAAGCGTTTGTTATGACTATTCTGATCAACATATCGAAACAAATCGTACATTTTTATACCCAATTTTAAGAGCTACTCATAGTACTATCCTTCTTTTAAAACTTCCTTCTTAATCCAACTTAAAACAAGTGCCGCGGAGCGACAGCGCTCATCTAACGTCTACTGCGGTGACTCTGTGGTGGAGTGGTGGGATTCTAGTAAACCCTGTTAGTCCCAAATGTGTTCACATACACGCCGAAACATT